AGTCAGTAAATAAAAAACTTGTGCTATGGAAATCGGAAACAACCACGGTTCCACAAACACCCAGACCCGAGACAATATTGAAAAGTTTTCTATATTGACCCGGCCGAGGATAGAGCCCGGGACCTCAGAGACATAACGTAAACCGGTGTGCAAGCCGCTAACCTTTTGCTTGGCTCAATTATATTACGGCGGAATGGAATGGAAGTGAATTTCGTAACTTATTCGTAACGATGTTGTACATAGCATAACGTACTCTAAGGTCGTGCATTCGCGAGAATTCCGCGAAAGATTTTGGCTCGTATCTAGTTCGTACGTTACCATTGACCATAAAGTTCATTATGCTATGTACAATATTCGCTTCCATTTCATTCTGCCGCTATACAGTAAAATAAAATTGAGCCTTATTGGCGGTACTCTTTTCGGATTTTACCAGTTATTAGTGGCGTCTGCAGGTTTATAAGTTTAAGGTATAAGCTTTCGTAATTTTGATGTTGCAGAACTGTTATCTCGAAAACATATCCAATATTAGACAATTACTGATAAACGAAGACGGGCGTCTATTATAACCTTAAGTTAATGCTAATTATTTAATCAATCACAATAACAATGATAAAAGGGTAAATAACATGATTTGGACAATGTGAAATAGAGATGTGCAAGTAATACGAGTAATATTATACAATTTGTTATATCACGCGATAGTGTAATTTGACATCACTTTGTAAAATTAAGCATCACTCATAAAATCGCCCGACACAATACCAAATTTTATTGATTCACGATATTATTTATTTCAGCTTTCAAAGGCGCCTCTGTTCGGCGACCATAAATTAATTTTTCGAATTATTCTGATATTTACCGAATCCAAATGCAAATTTAAGCAAATCAATCTCTTTATACAAGATTCTTTTTAAAATACTAACGTCTCAGGACTCCATTACTAACATCATCATAGGTCAGAAAAAGGTGTTCCACATATATAGACATATTTACAAGGAGCGATATAGTTATTAAAACCACCCAATATTTTTTTTTCCAATTCCGGATTTCCGGAAATGTTTTAGGATAAACTACTGACTAGGCAGTCAAAGTCGGATTTTAAAGTAATTCTAATGGTGCCATGACAACTGACAGTCTTGATATGTCAATATGCGGGGCGCAGTGCGGTATCTAAAGCTAGGGAGGGACGGTGAGTGACCATTCTCGTTTTTATTCTTTGCTTTGGTAAAAAGTAATGCAGTACCTGAATGCAATTTTTTACATGGCACCATTAGAATTACTTTAAAATACAACTTCAACTTCCTAGGTAAGTAGTTTTATCTTACGATGCAGTAAAATCATTTCCGGAAATCGGGAATTCGAAAAAGTTATTAATTAATATTTGGTGGTTTTAACAAATCTATGTCGCACCTTGTAGCTATATCTATACATGTATCTATATATGTGGAACACCTTTTTCCGAGTATTGAACATAATAAACAACAACTTTTGTTCACATGACTTTTTACAAAATATAATAAATTTACCAAAAATAAACTGAAGCTTTTTTGTACTGTCTGACACTTTTTAGATCTATATTTGGTAGAATAAGTTGAAACGTACAAGCGTCCTCCGCGACGACCCCAGAGCGATTCAGGGCGATCTATTCAAATCTATTTATTTTTGTTTTCGTACAAATTTCGTTCAATCTAATGAATTATTAAAAGTGATGGTACAAAAGTTGTTTATTATGTTAGTAATATAATCCTGAGAGGTTGTTAGAATTTTAAAAATAACCCGGTTTATTTATTCTTCTGATACTGACATATTCTCTTAAAATCAAGAAATGTCTTCACTCTTAAAGCTATAAACACTCTTGGCAAAAAAATGCGAATCAAAGCTTCCACGTTTAAAAACACCAGGGGATTATTCCGCCAATACAAAAGACTTTAAAATACGTTGACCAGTGAGTAAAACGCATTGTTAATTTCCTAAAATGACCACGAAGTAACAACAACGTTAACTAGACAGTACCATAACATTTTTAATAAGAGAAAATTAAAATTCATATAAGAAACTGACCATATCGCACACCGGCTGCAACAGTGTGACAAGTCCAAAATCTTCATTTCATGGATTCTGTCATGGGAGTATACAGGAAGTTCCCTAGTTTGTAATAAATAAATTGAAAGAATTATAGTGGTGGCGCGATTTGAGTTTCGGGTAGACCAAACCGGCGAACCATGTTGGCATGTTCTCCCCTTCAATTGGTAGACCGTATTATGATTAAAATAAGTTTCGTTGATTGGCATAAATACGAGTAGGTAAGCTGGGAGCACAAATACCTCATGAAACCACCGAGAGTTGAGCTATCGCGGCTCCCTGTCTCGGCCTGGAAGCGATTGTTGATGTCTTACAAGTTCTATTGTTTTCTTTAGTTTTCGGTTCGGTTTGTTTTCACTACAATAATAAGCGGAGGCGGTTGCTCTCGCGAGCATTGCAATTGTCGACGAAATTTCAACAGGCGGAAGAGTTATCTTCGTCCGCTAGGCTATGTGCGAGTAAGGTATGTGCAGAAAAAGGATGGCATAAGGAGCTAAATATTGAGCCAATCAAACCATTTCTAATGCGATTCAAAGATGGAAGTGTCTCTATTTCGCGAGGTAAATTCAAACAACATTACGGCGCAAACATGAGGCAACACGATACTCAGTCTGCTGCTACTATAAAGTTACATTTGAGGACTGTTCAGGATTTAATCGAAAACATAAACAAGATAATAATTAACTTGCCACTTTTGCCATTTTTTGAGTTGTGACTGTGATGAAGCAGGTGTGCCATATTTACTAAATTAAACTTGTTCAAAGTGCCACTGTCTTGTGTAATAATTGAAAGGTTGTATTTACAGCCTCTAGGTGTATTGTTTTTTACAAACATTTTTATTATTCAACTAATAATGTCATTCGATTCTTTAGACAAAGTAAGAAGTAATAAGTTTTTCTTTATCTCTCCATAATAAACCTACAAATGTAAAAAAATATATCAGTTTACACCACCATCATTGACAACAATATGATATTAAATGCGTACCAGCTGATAAGTCAAATGGACGAGGTCCATACATATAACACTAATAGACTACACGGCGTCTTGGATGGTGCCATCTCAACTGACCAAGACTATGAATTGATTGATAAGGCTTTAATAACGGTCTTTGACAACTCTCAAGTGTCGCTTAGGCCCTTTGCCTATTGACGGACCGGCTAGGTAGAAGATTTTTAGGCGACGAAAAGCAATTATCATAATGATATGGCGTTACAATTGAAATTTCAGTAATGGTCGTAGCTACAAAACCAAAGCTGCGCCATTCTTGGGGATACCGAGCCGGCCGCCTCCGGATTGACAGCCTTGTGGATGCTTCGGTAGCGTTCGGAATGCTTCGGAACGCCGAGTGCGACTATGCGAGCACGATAAGACTGTTCTGAAGAGAGGCCAAGCACGAGCACGATGTCGCGACGGAATGTTTAAGGACACCGTGGCATAATTGCCGTCAGCGCGATCCACTGCCGAGACGTGCCAACATTGATTGAAGTAAGATCCCGAATATCGATTACGCATTTGAAAGGAATTTATTAAAACAGGCCTAATTATATGCAGTTTGAATTTAAAGTACAATTCCCAAATTCTACAAAAATTGACGACTCTCAACGTGTTCCATTTGTATTTCCATATACTTTTTAGTTATATTGGTTTTTAACTAGAGAAAATTGATATAAGCAACATTTTTTGAGGTTCATAATTAACATCAATGTTACTTCTGTAGTGCAGAGTTAAATATTATTCTGCGATGGTTTTTGAGTTTTCTAACAACTTTGAAGTTGAGTCAAGGAAGACTTGTCGGTGTCACAACTATTGGCATTTGCAATAATTAATTGTCTCAACCTTGGAAAAATCATGACAAATGCAAACGAGGTTTAAAATAAATTCTCAAAACGCAAGTCTTGATACATTCAGATACAAATATTTACAACGTCATCAATATGTACGTATTTAAAATGATCAAATGAAAATGAATGAAAAACTCCAAACTTTTTTCGAAGTTTTATGAAATAATTGTAATATCATTTGATAATGTGTTTTAGGACTGATATAAATTTTGGTCGCGACTAGGGGAATGCAATACGGAAAATCCGTAATTCACAAAATCCGGATTTATCCTAAATTTAGAAATCAGGATTTTTAAATAAAATCGAACAGTAATTTACTTGCAAACAGAACTTTGTAAGTTTGTGCAACAGAATCCGCAGCGGATTAAATGATAAAACAATTGACGCTGTATCATTTTTAACGTCTCTTTTATTTCAGAGAAAAAATGTTATTTCTAAACACTTCCTTTGATTTTTGGTCGAAGTGGTGTTTTTGCTAATTTTTTTTGTACATTTTGTTTTATAGTATTTTGAAATATTTAATGGCTAATGTTTATTAATTTGTGCCTATCTTCTGTAAAGAGCCCTCGTGATTGACAAATCCTATGTGTTATGTATGGATCTCAATTATTTGATTGATATATTTTTTAAGTAGACCGCTATCGAATTCTTAGTTTTCCGAAAAATAAAAAATCCGGATTTCAAATACGATCTGGATTTACATTTGCAAATCATTTTCATCATTTGCAAATGCAAAATGGGTTTTGTCCTTTTGGTTACATTACCATTTCTTTTTAGGAAGTTATTAATGCAATTACCCTCACTCAGCATAATATTTTCGCCATGCAGATGTAAGATTCACAAGATTTTTTAATGTCTCTGGTAAGTATTGACGGGAAAATCGCCTTGCGACCGTTTGTACTCGGTATAATGCACACGCAATTACTTATTTAATTTTACTCTATCGACAAAATATTGGCATAATGATTCACGATTTAACAAATTTATATTAATCTTATGCACTAAATATAATTTATATTATGTATGTTTTAAAATACTAATAAAAATGTATTAAAAAAGACATAAAATGGTTATAAAGATAATAATAAGATAAGGCGTCGTTATTTCATATTGTGTTTCGTTCTGAAAAGCTTATTATTTCACTTTTTACATAGTGCAAGTCCCATGGCGCGTGCTCATTTATGAAAAGGTTACCCTGACACTGTGTAGCGGGTATCAGCTGACACCCTGATGCATCAGGAGTACCAGGGCGTGGGTTCACAAATCTATTTTGGGTCTGTACTGCAATCGCAGCGGCGGGTCACGAAACCTCCAACGCGTCACATACACGAACTTGAGTGTGTGGTCCTTGCCTAGTAACTCATCATTACACAGGATATCAATCTGAAATAGGCATACATTACTTTTTTTTAAAAGCACAGTAAAAACTTAAAAAAACGTCGCTGTTTATCATTTTTAGTATATAATATATTTAGATATAAACTCCATGAACCACCAAGCTCTCACAGAGGTATGTACACACAACCATGTAATCCGACAATGAATCAAAAGACATAGCGGCTCAGAACGACACAGAAGATGACGTGCATCCCGATACAGAACTCTTCGATATATTAACCGAATCGTTCGATCGCGCTTTCAGAGCTATTCAGAACATTCGAGCTAAGTTCGGTTCGGCTTCGGATACAATATCGTTATTGAACAGCATTTACAGAGTTAGTCGGTGAAATAGATTATATGAAAAATGAAAATTCTTTTATACACATTTTTAAGACTATAAAGGCCTAAAATATCGGATTGCATTTGTCTTGCATTAAAATAAATTGATAAAATTGAACACAATCTAGACTTTATTTAGTAACTTTGATTCGATAACTGTGTGCTCAATAACGTTTGTAGCCTTTGCCGGTCGAGAAGTTCGAGTAATGGTACGGGTGTGACGTCATTTCGGTTCGGTTTCGAATGAACGACATTTGACGTTCCGGGTGTTGTGAATAAAAATGAAAAGAAATCGGTCGACTACTGAGTTATCGTAAGGTTCTGAGTCGACCCCCCGGCCAGACAGGAGTCGGAGATAGATGCTGGATGGATGCAGAGTAGACTCACTCTCGATCTCCGTCAGACATCCGTCCGAAACAATTACTGCCAAATAAGCAATACTTGACCAAATGAAAAGACGCGTGATGCGAATGAAGCTTCATTCTTGATACTTGTCTTTTAATCCCTAGCCTACCTAATGGTCAAAAGCATGTACACACAATGATAGAAAAATTTTTCATAACAAGACTTTTCACACCCTACTATAATGCTCCGGCGTGGCCAACTACAGGGCAAAGTACTTTGGAGTGCCGAGCTCCCCGAAGTCGTCAGCAAACCCAGAAAGGCACTGAGATTCTTGGAAGAGCTTGGGTGGCACGAGGGCACCCACCACACGGAAAACAGGCGCCTGGACATCGAATTGCGGACATAAGCCCGTTTACATACCATACCATCATTTTAGTACATTGCAAAATACTTAGAAACGAAAACTTACTTCTCTATATTTTTCAATGCCATTTAAAACTTTCTTAGCTATAAACTTCTTCAGATGCGTTATTGTAGCTTGCGCAGAGCATCTGATGTAACTTCTTTTTAAAGTACGCAACGAGGTAGATTTACATTCGAGGCACACATTCACCTGAAAATACAATAAAGAGAATATTAATATGCACCCAAAGACAGCATGAACTCTAAAGTGTCTTCAGGTATACAGGAGCAATTCCCGACCTGCGGTCCGCCAGAATACGTGTGGAGGGCCGCATCTACTTCCGTGAGCTTCGTCATGTTTGTCCGGTTAGCAAATCTTCTAGTTACCTATTTTACCAAAATAAATAATTGCATATAAAATGGAATTATTTACTTAAATCCTAATTATTATTACGTGAAACAATTCTAATAACCATGTTTGATCCACAGACATGCATAAACAACACAGAATGTCATCAAAAAAACTTAACATACACATATGTAGCTAAAGTATGGATAAACAAAAGAGACTCTCCTACCTATCTTTTGAAAATGTAGTGATAACTTGAAGCAAACCGAAGTTTAACGCAAGCATATTACGTTCAACGCTTTTGCAAATACTAGGAGTGCACAAACTTACAGGTAGGTATCGTGGAACTCAAAGACGTCTTACGATCAAAGTACCTAGAGTGAAGCCGCAGTATCTTACAAAATAACAATGAATTACAAACATAGAATAAATGCAGGGCGTAACAGAAAGGCGTAGTCATATTAAAGGACCTAAACGTGTACTTGATTTAGACCCTCTGTGCAAAATATCAAACGAAAATGAGTTACAAAAAAGATTATATAAATTATTTCAATTTTAAATTAGAGAAAATCTAGCAGTACGTTAATTACGAGCACCTCATTCATAAAAGAACAGAAAACTCCCCAAAAACGAAATGCCGACAAAACATTATATCGTCGACTAAATTTGTAAACCACATAACCTCCATTGATGTAAACTTTTCTGTAGGCACAAAAAACAGTAAATCCATAAATAATTATATGCTTATACCTTTATTACACGCAAAATGGGCGCCTTGACGTCGAGTCGCGGACACCAGCCCGTTACACCAAGTACACCTTTATTTTATAACTAAATGAACGCCTACAAATTTATTTAAAGCTTCAGTTGCCCGATATGGCGCTTGAAAAGTAAAAGGGAATTTCCTCCAAAAACGGAGTCATGAGGTTTTCAAATATAGCCGACGATACGTATGTATACATATTATACGTTCAACTTCATATTTTGAATTCTTTTCAATTGCAACTAGACTGATATTAAACTAAAACATTTAAATAACATCAATTTATTGCAAGTTTAGGTTTTCAGGTACACCTGTAGGTAATTCATGCAATTTTAATACAGTAATAAGTAGCACAACAGGTAGTTGACAAATGTTCTACTACATATAATTGTATGTCAGTGTCCATAAACAATGTGTATGTGTGTCTGTGCTTGGCTGTGTGTATGTGTGTTAGTGTGTATAAGTTATTTATTTACGACAACGTTGTAATAGTAGGTTATATGTACTCACCGGTCCATGCGGTCGTTAATCATGTACATACTTGTTGTAGTATACCTAACTCACTGCACGCAATGCACGTGCACAGCTAACACATAATAAAATAAGGCCCAAATTGTCGATCCTGTCGCATTAAGCATATTTCCGCCGGTACATGAAATGTTCTACTCTTTGCGGCATATGCGGAGAGATTCGACTGAAGGCAATTTGTTTGTGCCATTTCACCTCTTCTGGGCTGTCCCACTGCTCGACTTTCAACCTTGAAACGACCCACTATTTTGCAGTCGTAGCACTATCCTCCTAAAGCATTCTCGCGAAGTAAAAGGTCGATGTGGATATTCTGGGATGCCATTGATAAACTGCTCCCAACAAATTTGACGAGCCTGTTGCAAGCTACCATCAATCGCGACATATTGGAAAATAATCAAATAATGGAGCGTTAATGTTTAGTCCTCACAATGCATAGGGCGGTTAATGATTAGTCTAAACACTTAAAAATCATTAGACAAATCAAAAATCATCATAGTCTGGTGGCAAAGGTGATCTACCTTTGATTTCACAGTCGGTTTTAGGATTCTCTTTCCATGGTACACAGTTTAATTGGGTTATATTTTTGCGATTATTATTAGAACCCTGGTCACCCGAGTTGGAAACGACAGGGCTGTTAAAGATATCGTAATATAGTAGCAATACATCAAGTTATCAATAATAATAAAGAAATCCCAATTTTTAACTCATAGCTGCAACAAAAACAAATTTGCAACCCTGGAGAAGGATAGAACAAAAGAGACTCATATCTGTATTCTGTACACTATTAGTATCCATACTTTTCAGATTGCAATACGAATAATCTCAGTACAGAGTACTAAAAAAACCGACCTCGTACGTGGAATGACATCTATTTGCCAAGTTTTGTTGAAATCGGTTATCGGAAAGTGTGCAAACCCGGATTCATCCCCTAGTTCGCCAAAGGAGATTTGATATGACATGATATGATTTGACACAGGAAGATAATAAAAATCGGTTCTCACTACTCAAAGTATATTGAGAGAGAAAAAACGCCTTGAATTGGAGAATAGCAAAACCAACCATTAAAATAATTGCTCCTAATAATAAAATTTAGGCGCTATTTTTAAAAATGAATCGTGAACAGCCATCCTTAGAGGTGGATGATTTTCCTCAAAATTAAATGGGCCCACTATGGAGGTACCCTCTTTCCAACAAAAATAGAATCATAAAAATCGGTTCACAAATACCGGAGTTATCGCGTATACGAAAAAAACACATAGTCGAATTGAGAACCTCCTCCTTTTGTGAAGTCGGTTAAAAATTAGGTTATATAATGAAAAATACACTTTTATTTATAGTAAAATAAGAATTAACACAAGAAATTACATTTAAGATAAATATTTACAATATACAAAGAATATAGTTAGACTATACACCCCCACCCATAAAATTTATTTTGTAAAACATCTTAAGTCTTTATTACCCTACTAAAACATAAAGTCGTTCCACTGACAACATTTGATAACTGCTTGATAACATTTTTAAACTCAAACAATATTTCGCGAACTACATGTTTCCGGCATCGTCAAAGGAATGAGATTCTCGTCGACTACCTACGCTGTTTTGCCGTGCTTGCTGCGTGCGTTAGAAAGAGAGATAATTTTATTCATTAATACGTATGCTGATCTGACGTCAGACTAGTACTGTGCAGTGGGTGTGTTTAGTTCAATGAGTAATCAAGTCTTCGAATTTTTGCGCCCTGGAACTACCGCAAAGAACGTAGTGGGAAGTCAAATTACAGTGTAAATGTGTTTTATACCGTGACTTTGAAGTATGAGTACACCCTTTCTATTACACCCTGTACATGTTGTGAATTCCAAAGTATGTAAAATTCTACTTTCTGTGAGGTCTCTGAAATGATTCAATAAATAAGCAATGAAACATATTCTCAACTCTAAATGGATTATGTATGTTTAAATTGCATTGTGATAACATTATGTACATTTTTACAGCCTGTTGATGTTAACAGTCAATGTGTATACAACTTACATACATACATATCATCACGCCCGGGTCCCACCAGGTAGGGGTAGATATAACTTTACAGGAAGAAAGCTTCAATTTTTACTAAGGATAATGAATGTAATAAATGCAAGTTGTATTTACAGACCTGCTCATCTTTACGATGGCAGTCAGTGTTGTCCGGCTGCTCGGGCTCGTCGCCAGCACCACCCTTGTCGTTGATCATGGCAGCGTCCTTTGGGCAGGTCAGGCCACGGGTGCGATAGAAATCGCGTTCGCGTTTGAGCTCACCTACAAATAAACAAACATACCATTGCCGTCCGCTGATTAGGCTGACAATTCAAGAAGACTTGGCAGAGACCCATAAGGTTTCAATTAGTTGTATTTATGGAGTTGACATGGGAGGCACATCAAGCTTAATATTCAACATCTGTTTAATGATGATTAGGGTATGTAATCTGGACAAACAAAATTACAATTTAAAATTGAACCTGGATTTTTTTACATTTTCACTCACGCTTCCTCAAACGGAATTTTTAAATTTTCTACCATAGAAATGTTAAAACTATTGATGCTTTATCACTTTTAAAATCTTTTTTATTTCAGAGAAAAAATTTCAGATTATTTCTAAACGTATTTTTACATTTATATTGACATGATAGTATATTGACAGTTAATAAGTGGTGTTTTTGTTAAACTTCTATAGTTCTTGTATTTTTTCTATGTTATAGAATATTTAATGGCTAATGTTTGTTAATTTTTACCTATATTCTTCAAGAAAACTGATTTCTTGAAATAGATCATCTCATGAAAGACAAATTCTTTGTGCAATTTTAAGAAGACTGTATATATTGTGTTATGTATACATTAAGCTACCATTTAATTCCAAAGATAATTTCTCTATCACCCTCCAAATTAAGGAAGCTCTGTACCGATGTCACTGTGCGGGAATTGAGGTAACTCTGGCCGGGATTCCCGGTCACAGTGGGATCAGTGGCAACGAAGCAGTAGACGCCTTTTCAAAAGACGCAGCAAGAATTGGCGTATGCAAATATCATAAGTGCTTTCCCAGAGATCTGCTCGCCATGATCAAACCCCAAATGCTCGCCTCCTGTTCGGAACTATGGCAGGAATCACGACAAACTGTTGGTAGATACTATTGGTAACCTCCAATCAAATTTTCTCACCAAACCCTGGTTTTTTAAACGACGCGATTTGCCAAAAAACTTCACTTCCACCATTATACGTTTGAGCTAAAGGCCATGTTTGCACCCCCTGTATTTTTGCGTAAAATCAGAGTCCGAGATCACTCTCTGTGCGAGTGCGGCCTAGACACATTTTTTCAATTGCCCTAATATTGCTGTTCCTCTTTATAACTTACTTCCTCCAAAATTCCCCCGCCCCATTAACTTAAACAACCTCTTAACTTTGGTGTTCTCCCCCCACATTGTTACTCTATGTAAATGTATCCACTTAAATAATATATATTTAAACATGTCAGTAGGCTGTGCTGATGATGTCATCAGCTATGTAGCTATGCTGGTAATTATGCCAATACACTCTGCGACATTACACAAGCTGCTCTCCGGATTGTGGAAAGATGGTGCAGACCATACGAACTATCGGTAAACCCAACAAAGATGGAACTAGTAATGTTTACAAACAAAAGACTACTAGGTAACTACCTACTACCCAAACTCTTCAGTACAGAACTACAGATATCAACCGCAGTCAAGTACTTGGGAGTAATACTGGACAACAAGTTGGACTGGAACAAGCATCTGGACAACAAAATTAAAAAAGCTACTATCAACTTCTGGCAGTGCCATAGAATATAGGTAAACAATGGGGACTTTCACCCAAGATAACACTATGGCTCTACACAGCGGTGATAAGACTCATGATCAATTACAGCGCGATAGTATGGTGGCCACGAACCAAACTGACGACCGCAACCGACAAGCTGGACAAATTCCAAAGACTCGCTTGCATGGCGACGACCGGTTGCATAAGGACAATTCCAACTGCGGCCCTCGAAGCGATGCGATCAATATCAGGATATCAACACCACTTGGTGACCACAACACAGTATTCCATGCTCAATGCATGGGCATCAAGTTGGTGGCAGAAGCAATCATGGCCAGAAGAGTAAAGAGTCACTCCATTCGAATACTCTCCGACAGTATGTCAGTACTTCAAGGTACGTATACAAAACCATGTAACTCTACAGTGGATTAAAGGATAGGGCGGCTCATGTGGCAATGACGCAGCAGATAAACTAGCCAGAAAAGGGTCGGAGACGGACGCTGTAGGGCCAGAACCCAGAGCGTCCCTCCCCTACCAATGGTCCAGAACAACTATACACAAAGGTACAAAATCTTCACATAATAATACATGGACCACCCTTACGGTTTGTAGACAGGCCAGCGTAGCACTCCCAATGCTCAATGCCAGTCTATCCCGAATATTAATTAAACTTAAAAGGTAAGAGCTTCGCGCTCTAACTGCCGCCCTAATGGGTCATGGTCAATACAATAAACACCTTTTCACTTTTCAATTTAGGTATCACAGACAGCCCTCTATGCAGAGCATGCATGGAGGGGGAGGAAACGGCTGCGCACATCCTACTATAGTGCTCCGCATCCTACTATAGTGTGCCAACTACAGAGCGAAATACCTTGGATTGCCAAGGTCGCTCCCCGAAGTCTTCAGCAAACCGAGGAGGCTGCTGAGATTCCTGGAGGAGCTTGGGTGGCATGAGTAGGACCCTGCACCCACTACACGCAAAATAGGCGCCTTGACGTAGAGTTGCGGATACCAGCCCGTTACACCAAGTACCACGTACCAAGTAATACATATTTATAAATACATGTTACATGTTTGTGTTGTCTTTTGTTTTAGATTCTCAACTGAGTACCCCCATGGACAAACTCATCAACACCGGTTAATGTGACAATAGAGCTCAGCATGTTTTTTTGTTTTGTTTTTCTTTTTTTACCTTTCGACCAAGACATTGGCAAAATCATCATTTCTCATAATGATGGAGCCATATAAATAAAAAGTGAAGTGAAGTGTTATGTATGGATCACAATTACCTACTGAAGATTAGATTAAGATTTGATTGATATTACACCAATACATCAATTTTGTTCAAGTAAATCGTGAACCTATTGAATTCTTAGTTTAAAAAAATCCAGATTTGCTGTGGACCTCGTTTTCGAAATCCGGATTTCTAATATGATCTGGGTTTGCAATCCCTATTTGTGATTACTTTTTAATTCTAATGCCAAGTAACATCTTATTATATAGGATCAAATCATATTATTATTATTATCTCTTTTGATATAAAGTATCAAGTTGTTCTTTAAGCTTTACAACAAACTGAACTAAATAAAGTTAACAAATGTTGTACATTCATGAGAAGATCTCGATGTACATACATTCAGGAGGAGATCTCATAGAGACTTACAAAATATTCAATGAGCACTAAAATGTGCGTAGCATGGAGGATATGTACCAAATGAATCACAACAGCCATTTGAGAGGTCACTCTCTGAAGCTAACCAATCCTCTATGTGCTAGCAACCCCAGAAAACACTTCTTGCCACTTCGCATTATGAACTTGTGGAATTCACTCCCAGAAACAGTAATTAGTGCTCCGACAGTGAATAGTTTTAAAGCTAGACTTGATAAACAATTTGAAAACTAACAATATACAAGTGCATTAGTAGTAGTGCATTATTTAAATAATAATTCATACAGTGAAAACATTGAGATTTGGTCTTTTATAATGAAAATATAAAAGACTTCTGAGGCATACTTACTGTCTTGCAGATCCGGAACTAATTTATAGACAATATCTTGCATTGTTCTGTCGAAGCTTATGTACTGTAGTGGATGTGACTGATGTATAACTATATTGCATGTTGGACAAGTATTATTCTCCTCTAGATGTTTTACTAGGCAACTTTTACAGACTGAAAAACAAAAGAACATATTTCAAAAATAGTCACTCATTAAGTTGTGCCTGTTTACAGATGAATAAGCAGTTAGATGGCAGAGTTATAAGAAATCATGATGTTTGTTTATTCTTAATAAGGTTGTTTCATTTAAAATTTTAGTAAATTTTGTACAGTTGGGTGTATCAAGTAATCAAGGATTTCAATATTAAGCAAACATGTTACGTAATTTTTTAAAAAAAGAAAAGATGTGTTTTGTTTACGAAAGCGAGGCGGTAAAGTTTTTTCCCAATTGCGAAGTTCGTGGAAGCCATACAAAAACAGTTAGCAAAAGTTAACCTCACTTTCTGAGTACAACGATTTTGTTGACTTCCAGTGATAAAAATAAATTGTAAGTATATGAGTTAGGAGATAAAGATGATTTTACACACCATTAGTGATCTAACAAGATTGAAGGTGAAAGAACTTACACGTATGAAGACATTCTGTAACCGTTGTTGCGTCGATAAAATACCCTCTGCATATCTTACAAGTTATATGACTATTGAGGGTTTTTAACTTTATCCTCCTTTCCATCGTCATCTTAGCTGAGTTTTTGAACCCCATCCATTTGACAAATAAACGCAAAATTAAGGAAAACAAAAAACTAGAACACAAGCCTCGACAGCTACAATTTAGTCAACTGATGCGTTTTTTTATTCCAAATGCGTTTTAATGTCACGTATAAAGCAGTGCAGTGGTAGCAACAAAAATGTGGTGATTCTATAAAAATCTTTATTTATTCAATAAAAAATAAAAACCATTTATTTATAGGTTGATAATACTCAACAGAGTAATAAATTTGATAATAATTTTTTCAATAACAAAACGCAGTGATGACGTCGGCGTGGTCTAATTCTGTTCACTGGGACTTTGATTACCGGTTCTCAGCAAATTTTCCGGTTTTAAAAAAAATTGATAATTGAAATTGTAATCTGTTATTGAAACAGGAGGTCTACTCTCGGTCTCCGTCCGAAACAATTACAGCCAAATAAGCAATACTTGACCAAATGAAAAGACGCGTGATGCGAGTGAAGCTTCATTCTTGATACATATCTTTTAATTTTGTAGAATATTACTTATTTGACAGTAATTGTTTCGGACGGAGACCGGGAGTAGACCCCCTATTTACACAGATGTTTCTTTGGTGACTGACCAATCTCAGGGTCACATTCCAGAAATCTACTCAATGCTCAAGTCAGGATTTGAGCAGACTTGTGTATAATTTCAAGTATTGGAAATACGACCCTAATGGCAAGGACTTGAGTATGATTTTCAGTGCTCACTTCAATACTCAAGTCCTGACTTGAGTATTGAAGAGTTCTGGAATACGACTCTTAGGGTCACTACTATTTTGTTTTCAAACATGAACACGTTCATCGCCGGGTAGAATATTCAGGAATGATGAAAAATGATACGATTGTTTTTGGTCTCATTTGTATAATGTTATAATAAATTTATTTTCGAGATAATTCATTATTTGGCTCTATTATGGGATTTTTTAGTGTCGGGCATTTCAACCTGTACGTTTAGGCAGTACGTAATGCATCCATCTATCCATGTATCAAATCCATAAACCAATCCACCTAAAACTGACATACACAACATGTCTGTTGAATCTAGATCATAGTTTCCCAAAACGTTTCCCTATTTTAGTGGTCGCTGAAGAATCCTAGCGGTCTCGGGGGGCCTCGAAAGCACTGAGGGGCGGCGTTGATGCTGTTCAGGGGGTCCCACATGGGTGCTACCGCATTTGAAAAACAAAAATTGAATAATTACTTATAGGACACACACACAAAATAAAAAAATATTTTTTTCCCCTGTAATTTTTTGTGTTAATACGAAAACTACGTGTTTTCAATTATTTTTTGTGGTGGTAGGCGTAGAAATTTTTTTATCTTGCCGTGAGCCAAGACTGGGCGATGAGGCAAAACAGTTTGGAAGCCTATGATCTAGATAGACATACATTTCACACAAATATTTTTCTTCCTTGTTTTGGAATCATTGTAAGAACTTAAATTCAACTTGAAATTAAAGTAGACTTAGAACCTTAGGGCCGAATCGGTCATGTTATATGGCTTATCCAAATACATAGCGTTTGCCACCAGTTTCATGCTGGTCATTTTGACCCCCACGGCCCCGTGTCATTTTGCGACACGGGGCAAACGGCGATGAATGTCTTCAAAGTTCTTCTTCTATAATGAAACCAGTTACATTACGTGACTATTACACAAACTAACACAAACAGACCTTGCTAATAATACACTTACAAACTAAACAGGTGTAATGAAAACATATGACCGTATTTCAAGTGGTGGTAAAGAGCATTACCACAGAAAATTAAACTTAAGGAAGTAATTCTTACGACTAACGTTCACGTATTACTAGTAATAAATGTAATCATTTAAGGGAACTGGGAAAACTTCGTTCCCAAATTAAAGTTGTTTGGTAGTCAGTGTCAGTAGGTCTCAATACACAAAAAGGTCTGGGTTATACACTTAACTAAACATTTACTTTTTCACAATGCATCCGAAGTAACTGAATCATAATGAAGTGTTAAGATACCGCTAAACAATCACATATCATTTCTGCGACCTGAAATCATTGAAAATGTTCAAATATTTTATAGTTGAAATGTTCAGTTAATAGAACAAAATATGCGACATAAAGTCCCAGCTGTTCTACTATAATAGGTCTACTTAATATCACTGGTAGGAACGAAGTGGTAATTTTGATACACACCAAGATCATTTTAATTAGGTATTGTTAGTGTCCAAGTGGCAAAGTATAATTATAATTTAATCTTAGTTGTTAAAACAGCAATGAAACACCAGCAATAAGTTTGATTATATTTATATCTGCCTACACTTACTTATTGAATACTACTTGTCAGCAACTGCAGGTGTATTTTTAGACTCTTCTTTTTCCACTACTGCTGTTTCAACTGGTGCTTTTGCTTCTCTTGTCCGCGTTAGCTTGGAGGGTTCCTTTGGCGGCGCCCAGTCCGGTATAATCTTATCATGGACGCGCCACGTGCCATACAGATTCGACAAATGTTTCTCAAACACCACATACTCGAGGACGTCTTTGGCGAGGATCTCACTGCCGTGTATCAGCCGCCCGAAACGGTCATATACACTAAGTCGCTGCTTTGTGTGGAAGCGAACAGTTACCTGGTAAACACGACAAATTAGGACTTGAGAGGTTTCAAAGGTCTTGTTGTATAATATTTTTCTTAAGAATATGAAAGCCCTTTTTCAACAAGACTTTGCAAAGGCTAATGTGGATAAACCAGCTTGTTATTAGGGTGATTATGATTCAACTTGTCTGTGACATGCAATCGTAAAATACTTAAGAGAACCTTCTAGTATTTGTGCCATTATGCAAGCTAAAATGACTAACTTTTTGACATTATTTAACTTTTTCTGCATTGGATACATTTTTAGCACAGTAATTGTAGAGATTATGGAAATAGAAAGAGTATAATCTATTTCTAAACATATTAATGTTCGGTTTAACTTGTAATATGAAAACAAACAAATTGATGATAGAAAAACACTTACTACTTAAATGACAAAGAGCTTACATGCAATGTTTGATTCAGTTAACATATCCAAGCGTACCTGCCCAAAAATATTCTCCTTGCTAACAACATCTGTACACCGAGCATGCACTATTCTTGGTGGTTCCAATGATTCCAGAAATTCCCAACGAGTTGTCTTGCCATATGAATTGTGTCTGAACTCTGGGTATGCTTTCTCCGTAACATACTGTCTTAGAGTATGTTTGTCATTATCTATAAGACTCTTGTGGGCTTTTATGTAGATCTTCTGCGCCTGTTCAACAAACTCCTTGCTGTCAAAATCTTCCTCAAACGATTTAATTTTACGTATAGCCATCATGGATTTAGATTTCTTCTCAAGGTGTTGTACTGCTTGTTTAGCACGAGATGTAGACACCAAAGACGCTTTGCCATCACCTTCTGGAGGAACATATGGCTCAAAGGTACCTCCTGAAAATAATTCAACAAATCAATTAATGAAAAAACAGAACTTGTTTAAGAAATATACAATCCAAAGACTTGACAAAGTATAGCTTATATGTGGATATAAAAATGTTGAATCAATTATTATTGTGTTCATAACCTTAGGCTCTTCATAAACTGATCATATCTGCCATCCTTATCATAACTAATGTAAACGAGATTTTTAGTGAAATTAAGTTATTGACATTTCTGGAATAAGGAAACAAGATCTACAATCCACTCTAATTGGTTTTTTATAACAATAACGTGCATCAGCACAGGTTTCTACTTCGTGCCGGAGTCTGTTTGTACGTTCGTGATGACATCTGTGTCAAGCGTCTCAAAAACCTTGGGGCACCGAGTTTTTCTGTTTTGTGGCTTCTGGTAGACACAGGAATTGCACAAATAGTGTAGTGCTGTGTTTACCGATCGCACATTGAAGATCAGGAGACAACCAAGCTGTTCCAATATCTGAGTGAGACGTCTGATGAGATTCAGCATAGGTACTCAGCGGCGCAACTAGTCATTCTGGGAGACTTTAATGCACACCATCAAGAATGGTTGTTCCCACACCAGCTGACCGATCATGCTGAGAGAGAGACGCGTAAAGTGACAACTGATCCGGCCCGATACTCTGTGGTTGTAGATGGGTACTTCCGACCATTGTCTGGTGAAAACTGTATCCGTATACTCCCCACCCGATCAGGGCCTTAGTGGTATAGGACGGGTGTGGCGATACAGATCAGCAGATTGGGATGAAATGCGCCATTTCTTTGCGTCATATCCTTGGCAGGTTTGCTTTTCATCATGAGACTCGTCGAGCTGTGCTGATGCTGTAGTCGAGGTCTTGCGTTTGGGTATGGAGTATTACATACCATACTCCGATGTACCCTATGGACCCCAAGCTCATCAATGGTTTAAGCACAAAAGCAATCCGCGTATCAAGCATGGGCAGATGCTCGACTGCGCAAAGCTCCGAGTACTCGGAATCTGAAGAAAGCTTTTAATACAGCCGTCAAGAAGTGCAAAAGCGTGTTACGTAGGGCCAAGTTCGACCGCGGGCGCCGCAAAGAGGCTAAGCTTGCCTCTTATCCAGCAGGTAACAAATCCTTTTGGTCCCTGGCCAAAGCGGTCCAAAGTAACTTTTGTCACCCACATTTTGCCACCTCTGCTGAGGCCGGATGGCACGCTGGCTCATACTGCAGAAAAGAAGGCGAATATCTCTTTGCCTCACTCTTTGCAGAGAGTTCGCGTCTGGATGCCGCAGGGAACGTACCACCTACCTCACCTCAGGCTGGCTGCGCTATGGCGCCAGTTCGCATACGCCAAAAAGAGGTACTTAGAACTCTTCGGAATCTTGACGTGACTAAAGCTAGCGGGCCAGATGGAATTCCAGCGGTAGTCCTACGTAACTATGCGCCTGAGATGTCTCCTGTTCTCACACGCCAGTATCGCCCCTCACTTGAGACTGGTGTAGTTCCCAGGTCGTGGAAGCTTGCAAACGTGCAACCTGTGCCCAAAAATGGAAGCAGAGCTGACCCTGTCAACTATAGACCTATCTCAGTCACTTCCATACTCTGCAAGACTATGCAACGTGTATTCAACAACCGTCTCCTGTCATACCTTGAAGACAATGACCTCCTCAGTGATCGCCAGTATGGATTCCGACGAGGGCGATCTACCGGGGATCTTCTTGTGTATGCCTGTCACATATGAAGCGAGGCTATACAAAAGCAAGGCGAAGCAGTTGCAGTGTCTTTGGACAGCCTTTGACAGGGCAGACCCTGTCAAGACCGTGCCAGAGCATGCAAGCCTTTTAAGCAAGCTTCCCACTGACCTTTGCAATTGGATCTTGGATTTCTTGAGTGAACGTTCCATTCGAGTGGTCTTAGAAGGCTACTCTTCCGAACATATGGCGATAGATGTTGTAGAGTTCCTCAGGGTTCCGTACTGTCTGCAACTCTCTTTCTGCTGCATATCAATGATATGTAAATTCCAGGTACGTTTGCGTATGCTGATGACAGCACAGTTGTAGATAGGTACTTGACCAACGATTTAATTCCGCCTTCCCCTTTCAATCATTGGGGGACTAGGCGTAGGCTTGGTTTCCACCCCTATGTTGTGGATATTCCAAAGATTCGCACGAAGCGTTACGCTTCCACATTTATATGGCGAACTGGCTATGGAGTGGAATTCCCTGCCTGCAGACTTATTGCCTGAACATTATAACTTGGATCTTTTCAAGGCGAGAGTGCCTAGGCATTATATAGGTGTGCATGCTCCATTGTCGACCTCATCGTCACTTTCCATCAGGTGAGATGGAGGTCAAATGCACACTTACATTAGAATTTAAAAAAAATTCTGATGGTAAGCTACATGCCTGTCCATAACAGTTGCAATGCCACAGTGGCAGAGCTTTAAATCCAAAGACCTGTAGGGCTAGCAGGAAAGGCGCGAGAATGACATAAAACGTGAGATACTGCTATTCTCGCATAGAGATCTCATGCAAGTCGCGTCGTATTGTGCTAGCCCTACTGAGGGGCACTGCTACTGCGCGTGTCACTCTGGGACATAAGTAGACGACACCCGTCTAATGCAAATTTGGGTTCGCCAATTGGAGCGCAGTTGTAACCGTAATGACATGACAGAATAGTTTTTAAACAAATTAAATGAAATTTTGTCTCTATTTCTAGTTACATACTCAATGTCAAGAAGGCTCCCTGCACATCCACATGTGGGTACAGAAAATTGGGTATTGTGCACATCCAACAATGATTATGAGTTGAAGGCAGCAGTGTAAGGCCCAATGTAATTGAACTACAAACTTTTGCAAAATGTGTTGTCATACAATGAAATAAATAATGCAATAACGATTTACCTAACAATGGGTCTCTTTATGTCTTCTAAGTATGTGTAGGAAAAGGACACTTAGCTACTTTTTGATAATTTTGATTGTTTTTGTAATTTAAATTTACAATTTTAATTAAATATAAATGAAATAGTATACACATATAGAAAAAACACTTAAATGTTAACTATGAAAACACAATATACCACTCAATGAAAATATGATACACCAACATGTTTTTTCTTTTTACTTGGGGAATTTTTACAAGTTTTTATTACATTTACAGTACAGCTTGATTGAAGCAGTTGGTTGACCAAATGAAGACAGAGGAGCAATTGCTCTTTTTGCGATTTAATGCCCTATTGGTTTAGATACTTATAAGCGTGGACACGACTTCTATTTGTTGGTCCATTCCATACCATGGCCATAAGTGTTCATAGGGAAAGTAGTGTTAGTCACTGACCTGTGGCAGAAATATAAAATGCACGCTCCATCCAAGGCCTTGGTGGAATCAAACCACGTTCCTTCATCTTTTGTCGCATTTTTTCTTGCGACATGTCTTGAGCATTTTCACTGAAGTCTGGCAATTCGAATTTCATGTATTTCTGAGCCCGCATTTTCTTATACTTTGGGTTGTAGTGCTTGGTGGTAGTCGTGCGCGAAGGCTGTGTCAGCACAGCTACAGGCACTAGTCTCAACGAGACTACCTGTACCACAAATACTCTTTTTATTAACAATAAATCAAGTATGTATTTCAATTTGAGCCAAAATACAAGTAAAATTTCGCTTACCTTGGCAATTATTGAATTAGCCATTTTAGGAACTATATCCAGCTTCAGATGAACACTCAGTTGTACTAGATCTGATATAATATAATTTTATTTAACTAGTGGTAATCTCTTATTTTAGAAAACCTACTTCTATAACCTAAAAATACGACGTCAAATGAATAATGGTTGTGTATTACTTCTTTAAAGTAATAAGAAAACCGGTAAAAAAAAATCACTATTTCTATTTTCTAAAACGGGTCAAGTGGATATTTAATCATAAATTTTTTTCTCCATTAACGACATAAGATTAAGTCTGGAAAATATATATAATATTTAAAGATATATATTTAATTAACTTCTATTTCATTTTATGAGAAGGCTGTTTAGTGTATTTCTTGTGCTGCTTTAAACAACTGACTGTCTAAGAGTAATAAAACCTGTCTATGGTGTTTTGTTTTTTCTGCCATTTTTAGTCAAAATACGTTCCGTTTATTTGTAATTTTCTTGAGTGTATTGCAAAAATAATCAAATTTATCGTGCCGTCTTTCAAAAATATTTTTGTTTTTATCAAAGCGAAGAATATACTATTCCACATTTTGTTATAAATTGTTCAGGTACAAGGTCTAATATCATTTCTGTTAGTTAAAGTTGTTTAGGAGACGTAAATTTTATATATATTATAAAATCTTATTATTTTAACGAACATTTTGCAAGATATTCCTTAAAAAATCATCTTGACTAATAAATCTAAAGAAGAAACCTCAGAACTATTTTGAATCTCACCTTCGAGCGCGCCATCACCGGATATCCGGCGACTCCATACATATCTCTACCATTGGGAATAGAGAGATCGGCGCAGCAGCGTTTCTTTCTTTTCGGAATAGGCGCAGTCCACGAGAACTCGCAAAGGAGTAAAAGGCTCCTACGTAACCTGTCACTACGTGAGTATACTTTGCAAAGATTTTACACGTATATTGACTGATTTCGTCTGGCTTTGTCAGTTTCCAAGGTGCGTACATTCGCTGAGTCATAGGTAATCGGGTTATAGCGTAACTTTCCTTCGAGGTTGAAGTAGTGGACGTTGGCGGAAGCTTTTACTCGCACATAGGTGAGGCGAAGGGCGACGCCATGAGGGCCGGGGCCGCGAGGGAGCCCGAGCCGTCGTGACGCAGCGGGGCGATGACCCTGTGACGTCTAACGGGCCACCTTTTCTGTCTTGGCGCTCGCATTATCCTAATTGCCACGTGTGTTTGTTCCAGAAGGTAGAAAAAGTTATTGTATGAGTCAGAAGGTAGAAAAACCAGTATTATCGGGTCAACGGATCAAGACCAGAAAAAGAGGTATGTACGCCACTCCGTTTCTGTAATTGCGTGTTCACAAGTTCATTTCACCAACGTCATCTGTCTGTTGCCCCTACATTTGTTACATATAAAATACTGCCAGCATATAATTATGTATTTATGCTCATGTTCATTTAATGAGGTTCTCGGCAGCATCAATTTTGTCTTTACATAATATGATTTTCACCAAAAGCTTGTATTATTATTACAATTGTCTTTGTTTCAATTTTTTTGTGTGATAAATTACATGCAATGTTTAAATGTCTTCACAATCAATATTGAAATTGTGATTCAACATTTTGAGGGTATGTACTTATTGAACAAAGGAACACATTAAAATTAAAATTTTATTGGACAAAGGCATACATTTCTAATAAAGTTACCTAGTATAAAATAGTGATACAATTTCATAAAATGGATTGTCTGGTTTATCATTGTGTGCACTATTGAACAGCTTTAGTTATCCTCGTGCTGTTCCTGTCAGGGATAACATGTGTTCCTACTTCAATGATGTCACCATATTTGTTAACCATGCTGCAAGGTTGTTTTTTTAAATAGATATTGAGAAATACCTACATTTGGTTAGAATATAAGAACTTGCTTTGCCCTGGTTACTAAACTTTATTTCATAAATTCTTTTTTTAATTCTCTTTGTTAATAATAAAAATGTTGTAGGTACCTTATTTTTTTCTATGTAATAGTACTTCTTAGATAACAGTCATAGGCACAATGTGTGAGAGATACATAAATAAATATGGCTGCCTTAGTTTTATCTATATTATTTATGCAAGCAGGTTTTAAAGTGCTTATTCAAGGCTTACAGATGCAATAAATTACAAATTGCTCCTATTATTATACTTAGTAATGTTACTTTGAATTATCTTTGTCAAGATTTAATTAAATACTGTTTGAGACATGGTTATAGGCCTTTAAGGTGGAACTTGTTGCTATCTTGTTGCATTGTTTGCTGTGTGGTTATTGCCACGCTGTAAGTGGGCCATTGGTTGCACCGCCACCGCGCCTTGTCGCGTTTTTCGCACGCTCGTGCTATCGTAGCCTGTGCCTCCAATATACGGGGTACCCATGAATGAGTGTGGTTTCTCAGAAATTTTAACAATACTAACCGAAGTTCCGTTTTAGTTCTACCAGGCATACTTGCAAGTAGGAAGTTTTCCAAATCGGTGATTGCTAAATCCTGTAGGCAGCATTCGTAACAATTGAAGCAGTTCTCATGCATACACGGGTCAGGATGGAGAGTTGATTATTGACTAGCAAGAAATAACTATAATAAAGATCTTCATCCCAAACAATGCTTGAATAGAAATTAAATAATCAAATATTATCATCCGCTTACTGCAAAAATAGACTAAATGACACAATATCAATTTCGAGAAATAAATTTAAAGTTACAGTGTAAATTCTCATATTTTCTGTATTTTGTCTTAAACAAAAGAAATAAAAATATAGTAGTGTATATACAGGAGTACAATTGACACTAAGTTAGTAGAATGTTTCTTTTTTAAAATTCGGATAAAAATCTTTACCTTTGGCCACAATAAGTATTGTAATAAAAACCAAAGTTAATGCCTTTTAAACAGGAACATTATTAACATATTAAATTCGATGGCGCGGCAAAACCACTACTACCTTCTTTATTTCGTTTACCTACTTCTTGAGGACTTTGCTTCCTTCTCTATTGGAAGTCAGGCTTACTTACACCAAATAGTTAAGTTCGAAAGCTAGGAAATGTTAGTTGACTTCCTCATAATTGATTTTTTGAAAATTCACTAATATTACTTAGTCGATTTTGTTGATATTCTAGATGTACCTTCGCCAATTAAATAGTTTTCTGAATATGTTATAAAATACGTTAATTAATTTTAATACAACAGAACCCTCCTAACACAGTTAATGAATTTCACAATAGTCTTAAGCAAGTTTCCAATTTTAAAGTCGAAAATAACAAAGCTACGAAGGTAGTGAATTTCGCTTACGTAGAATCGAATGCGCTGAATTCAAAGGTTGCAATTACTTAGTGAGTTTTGACAGTAAGCCGACGTTGTGCTTCATTATCATTTAGTTTATAATTTGAAATTATTTTCGCTACATTTGTGATTTAGAACTTTATGGACATCCACGTTTTGTCATGTTTTAATAACTTATTTAGTTACAAACATAGTGAGAGCGAAAACTAAAGCACATGGTCACTTTGTTCACATGGTCACACACACACACAACGACTTGAATTTCCCACTGTCTACGTTTACACAGATGCGTGAGTCTAAGTTTCTGTGTTCGTAGCAGCATTGCGCTCCGCCGCCATTTTGTTTGTTAATGTTGATGCTGCGTCGGCATTACACTCGGGCCATTAGCCGATGACTAACATCAAATTGATTTGATTTAGTCGATATGGTACAAAGACCCAAATGCAACAATTAATATTTAAAAGCTACTGCGTGATAACTTTATGGAATTGGAGAAGTCAATTAAACGCCAAATAATTAATAAAAGTTTGAATACTACACTGAGGAAAAGTCAAAATTTTTGGAAACGCAGTACCCGTCTCGCGATGAGCACATTGTATCGAACCGTGTCAAACGGTACACGATAGCTTATAAGATTTATGGAATGCAATTAAGAATATTGTAATCGATTGTACCCGCCAAAATAATGCCCACCGCGCTTTATTTCCCACACTGTAAAATACTAAATATAAGTATGCTTCGATTGCTTTTTATTAAAAAATTTAAAACTACCTTCAGGTGTGAAAAAAAGACTTTGGAAATTATTACAGTAACATACTGGTGATATTTTACAATATAAAAATTCTTTGAATTGTAAAAACATAATATTGTAATAGGATAATATCGCACACAAAAAACAAAATATTCGTAGTAATATCAATCCTTTCTTTTTTTAATTTTCAAATTGTGTTTTCTTAATTTAGAGTTACGACAGTATTCGGTTTCATGTGCGATATGTACTAAGAAAATGTGTTGGATTAAATCAAAATTGTTTTGGGTTGTAGTTTAACCTGAAATAAATGCTTGTAACATAACAAACACGCGCGAATTAAGTTCAATGAACCTAAAGATATATGCTTCGTCAATCCAAATTCTTCTACTGACTAGACTCTTTTCGACCTGTTTAGTTAACTATTAATTTAGTACTTTTAGTTATAAGTACTTGTATTTTTGTATAAATTATTAGTATTATTCTGAGCTGGTACCCGCTTGTCAATTCATTCGTTTTTCTTCTCAGAAAGAAGGATGGCGAAAGCTTACCCAAAATCAGCGAAATGCCGTTTATGGATTTTGCTAGTATAATTTTACGTTTTAGTTTATGCCTAGTTATTAAATTATTTTTGTATATTTTTAAAAGTCGGGGATAAAGAAATTGCAAAATAATATATTTTAGAATACATGCAAGAACATACCGCAATTGATTCAGTTCGACCATAGATTAGGTAACGTTCTTCGTGATCGAATGTTTACCTACTTAAAGTATTGGTTATTTTATAGTACACACATAAAACATTAAAGCTATAAAATACCTAATGAAATAAGCAATTAAACAGTAATAACATAAAGTAAAAAATAGAATACAATGTGACAAAAATGTTTAGATAATATTTAAATGATAGATACGGAAGTTAGCAAAGGAACGTTTTGACAAGAGGCCTCTTGCCAATGTCCAATGTCATATTGAGAACACTGTTATATTGAGAACAGTGTGATCATTTGTGGCAGATTTCTGCCATTTGGGTAGATTTAATTTTTATTCGTTTTCATTGCGACAGAACATGTTACTTAACGTTGTATTAAATGTGGCAGAATTTTGCAGATTTAGAAAGAAGTTGCTGTTTTTTTTAATTATTAACCGACTTCACAAAAGGAGGAGGTTCTCAATTCGACTGTGTTTTTTTTGTATGTATGTTACGCGATAACTCCGGTATTTCTGAACCCATTTTCATGATTCTTTTTTTGTTGGAAAGGGGGTACTTCCAATGGGACCACCATTTCATTTTGAAGAAAATCATACACCTTTAAGGGTGGCTGTTCACGCATGAAGATTCATTTTTATTAATAGCACCTAACTTTAATTTAGGAGCAATTATTTTAATGGTTGATTTTGCTATTTCTCCAATTCAAGGCGTATTTCTCTCAATACACTTTGAGTAGTGAGAACCGATTATTATTATCTCCAGTGTCAAGTCCTGTATAGTGGCGAACTAGGGGATATTTCAATAAAACTTGGCAAATAGACGTAATTCCACGTACTATTGAGGTCGATTCTTTTAGTACTCTGTACTGAGATTATTTTTTAGGAACAAACTGAAAACTTGTTGTTTTAGCTACTACGAACAAACATCTTAAGCGAAATACCAACAGTACAGTGTCATAAACTTAACCTTTTTCAAGTTTACAACTCCATCTTCTACAGGCTGCACTAAATTAGCCTTTTTAATGCTTTGGTAATGAATCACAAGTATTAATAGGTCTCTTTAATGCACGTCGTCAAAAACACTGGGTCACAAAATACACTGGATGTCGCAACGCATTTTCAGCTTTATTAGATAATGTTTACAATTTTTATTGCTCAACACTTTGTTTCTTTCCTTTTAAGGTTATTGGCTTTACTTGAGGGTGAGGTCCTGGTGAGCTGTAATACAGCTTTAGTTGCCTAGTACGGTCGCCAGTTTCTCACAAGGGCAACTACATTTAAAATTGTTATTCTATTATAAGTGTATTTTCCACGGAAGAGAAAAACAATGGAAATGCCATAAGCCTCGGTTACTATATAAACCGATGTCGCCAAAATGCACAGAAACAAAATGATAAACACTACGATGAAATCTTGATAATGGTTGGTCATAGTTTCTTATTTAGAAAGATGTAAAATGTATTGTTAATAGAACTTAAACTTTACCCAGTCGCTATATCGTTGAAAGTTCTTTGATTTTATATTGAAATTTTATTGAACATGCTGCCATCTTGCGG